GAAGAACAGAAAGACGACGCAAACTTCATCATCTTTGGCTGTCTAGTGCTTATATCCTTCATATTTGCCGCTATCAGAGCAGTTATTCTCCTTTGGGCTTCTATAAGATGCTCTAAACGCCTTCATGATAAAATGGTAGAAGCTATTCTGAGAGCACCTGTTGTATTCTTTGATTCTAACCCTGTTGGAAGAGTTCTTAATCGGTTTTCTAAAGACATAGGCTGTGTAGACGAGCTTCTACCCAAATCGTATCTAATTTCTATCCAGATGATCTTGCAAATGCTCGCCTCAATTCTTATACCCACGGTTGCCAATCCCTGGCCTCTTTTTGTTTTTGTTCCATTACTTGTTGCAGGTGTGTACATCGTTAGGTATTTCTTAGCAACTTCGAGACAGCTGAAAAGGTTAGAGTCAATAAGTCGAAGCCCTGTGTATTCGCATTTCTCGGAGACCCTAAATGGGTTGGAGACGATTCGCACAAGCGGAAGACAGAGAGACTTTGTGGAACAGTTTAACAGGTACTTTTCAAAGTGAGAGCAAACAACACCAATACGGTTATGGATTTTTTAAATTAATTAATAGCAACTCGGAAATTCATCATTTGAATAACAATGAAGCTCAAACTTTCTCTTTGAGGAGATGATCTACGCTTGCTTAAAAAGCAAGCACTCTCTATACTTTTCTATGGTCTCTTTTAAAGTAGCGTGTGTACGATAGTATTTCTGGAAAGCACCCTATGTTGTTGGCAGTAACCAAAAAATCAGGAATCGCGAACATTAGAGGAAAAGAGATTTAGTATAGGTAATAACACGATTTCGAGGGAATTTGGTGTCAAAGACAACTAAATTCCACGAGCCCTTAAGGTGAGTAAAAGTTGTGGTGTTTGAAAAACTCGGTGCTTATTTGAACCAAATTGTACGAAGAAAAATATTTTTTCTTCTCGATGATTTACATGAAAAAAGCATTCCGGAACTCAAGACCGTCGAAATTCAACAACGCGCGCGCGCCACTGGTAATTTGCTCTCGTGTTACATGAAAAATGCACGCGCTTTCAGGCCATCACAAGTGCGTAATTTTTTTATGCATAACATTAGTAATGTAACATATTCCTGTTGTGAAACAGATGAAAGAGGCATTTCGGTCATTTTTAAATTAAAATGGTAATTTTATCATTTTCTGTTCAGATTCCAGGATGTTCATACCCAATCGTACATCATGTTGCAAGGAAGCGAAAGATGGCTTGCTATACGTTTTTCATTTCTCTACACCCTCTTCATATGTGCAGTGGCTCTAGCGGCAATGCTTGTTTCTCAAGATGCCGGTAGGTGTCTAACGGACTAGTTCTATCTATGAATAATGCTAACAACCTGGTAATTGGCGTGGTACAATTTACGTAACATTCTGTTCGTTGAGTTTCAAATCGACATCGACAATAACAGCAAGTTGTGCTTCACTTGTGCCAATAACTTTCCTTTTTTATCTTTAAGAGCCCTAGGAAAGTTCTTTAGTTGTTACAGAAAAGCTTTCGCGAATAAAATCATTAAACCACAACACGAAAAAAGAACCTATTCTGCACACACCGCCTCCAGGTTAGCTTAATGGATAGAGCGCTGGACTGTTGTATGGGAGGTCGAAGGTTCGAGCCCCGGCCGGACCAACACTCAAGGTCTTAAAATAATTGAGAAGAATATGCTACCTTTCAATAACATCAAGAAATGGTTATATATTCTAGTCTTCTCGGATAGGGACGAATAAATGGAGGTCCCGTCTCCTGCAGGGTTAGGGGTAGGAGACCCCCTCTGTGATGGATGTCCTCCCCTGGGGTGGGATGTGTGGGTTAATAATATTCGAAAGTATTTAGTACGAGTCGTTGGCTCATTGTACATCTCGAATTGAAATAAATGAACAGACAGACAGACAGACTCCAGGATATTTGACTTGCTTTTGATTTCTCGTGCACTTTTCTAAGCCTCATAAAATTATTCTATCAATAGCTTTTGCAGGGCTGGGGCTCGTTTACGTCTTTGAGATCGTGGAAATGATGGATTATTCTGTCCGTAAAACAGCGGAAATAGAGAATTTAATGACGTCAGTTGAACGAATAATGTCATATACCAAACTTGAGAGTGAGCCTGGGTACAAAGATCAGAGACTTCCACCTCAAAACTGGCCCCTTCAGGGAAATATTACTTTTCAAGACGTGTCGATGACGTACTATCCAGGCGGACCTCAAGTGCTGAAAGAAGTAAATCTTCACATAGAAGGAGGAAGCTGTGTTGGTATTGCAGGTCGCACGGGAGCAGGGAAGTCGTCATTTGTGTCAGCTCTTCTGCGCATGCCAGACGCCCAAGGTGTCATAATGATCGATGACGTTCCACTANAATGGACATCACCAATTATCGCCGCGGTAACATGTTGTCAGGATTTTGTAAATTATGAGATTGTTGATGAGTGTGTCAGTAAGTGTATAAGTGCATTTAATACTGAGCCCCACTTTTCCGCAGATTTTAGCTATTTTAAAAGGGTAGGTGCAGAATAGTTGTGTTGGGGCTAAGTAAAATGAAAATAATCTCCGAGAAATATTTCGAACCGAACTGATAATACTCAGTCCTTTGAGTATTCATCAAGGGAAGAATACAACCCTTAATTCAGTTCCACGTAAACGCCTTAAACATCACTAAGTTACTTCATAATTGAGTGTTGCATTAGCCTTTGGGCCCTATGAAATTTCCGCCATCTTTCTCCCGCCCCTTACCCCACTGTCCACTCTGACTCAAAATCAAACATGGCGTTCTGATAAACGATCACGAGCTTATAACCTAAATTCTTCCTACTAAGACGCCTGCACTGCAGGCAATATTTTTTCTGTTTATTTTTGAAGACCCTTAGTCCTAGTAGGTCAATGAACCCGTCTGATGCGATGGTTGAAGGCCATAATATTCAAATAATCCCACACATTCTTCTGGGCCCCAGTTGTGGATAGGAACTTTCTTCATGACACACCCTGGAGTCTTCGAAATAAAGGAGAGTTTAAGAAAGCCATGTTAATGATCGTTTTTACCAGTGAGAGGGGTGGATCTGCCATGGTATTTATTGCAAATCAGTCTTACGGGATGGCGGAAAGTGTAGACAACGGAGTGAATCTGTCTTTCTTTAAGGAATTTCTGACAAAGTTCGCGAAGACTCAAAACATAGGGTAAGTATAACTTACGGTGGCTGGTTAGGGCCATAACAGAAACACAATTCTTTTAGGGATTGATTTAAATTAAGTTACCAAATTAAAAGTAATCCTGTTTCGAAACACTTATAAATAGCTGCTGCACAGCATTTCAATTGACTTCTACTTATCTACATTGTACTACCAACTGTAAATTTCCACTTATTACTGTTAACTTGCACTTATAACCGTAAATTTCCACTTATAATTGTAAATTTCTACTTATATTCTGTAAATTTCCTCTTATAACTATAGATTTTCAGTTATGAGGGTAAATTTC